TGAGTAGAGATCTCGGGGGCCGAACCCCTCGCTACTCAGTTAACGTTGACTGAGTGGTCTGCTGACTGAGTGGTCTAATGGTCGGAGCGTTCTTACACAAGGTTCCACTTACAAAACATACCCACTGCATTTAACACACACCCACAATCGGTGATGAAACCTCAACCACATGCCTCTATCGACGACCACGTGAGGAGGCAATGAAGGAAAAAAATGTTCTCCTGTGCCATTTGCAGATATAACAGCACGAAATTACACAAAAAGGTAAGAAAATGGTGAGACCACGCCCGTGTGTCCGCACATCCTCCGAAATGTATCCACACATATACAACCCAAATACCCGGTACATACGCGTACCACATTGAAAATACGTTTAAAAGGGTGCCAAACACAATACGCCCGACCAGTACCTAACACATATCATCTGCACCTTCCCAACATAACATATATGAGACACACAAGACAGCTACCAAACTGTCTTGTTGAGCCTGTTACCCGCAGGGGAGATGTCCCTATATGCTGTCTGGGAAATCGTAGACATACAGGTACTTTCTGACGCTATGAATCCATTGCTAATCTGTCTCAGACTCTTTTCTATGATAGAGATGGTTTCGTTGTGTCATATTAAGAAAAAAAAAAAAAAACAATCGCCATTTTATTCACCGATCAGCGTCTGGCGAGGGGTCCGGCCCCGGAGATCTCTACTCATTCACAAGCCCACGTGTTCCAGCCGGGTGCTAACGAGCTCTGAGCATATATTTTATTTGAAAAAATTAGACCATCTGACCAGTCAACGTTGACTGGTCAGATCATCTGACCAGTTGACTGGTCAGATGGTCTAACTTTATCTAATAACGGCAACAGGCGCCATCATGACCACCGCATCACCTCACCAGCAGCAGCCACACCCCTTCAAGTGTGCGGCAGCAGCGGCTCAGCTCTACAAGCTGTACTACAGTATCACCCCCCCTTTTATCACACCCCCAAAACACAACTTGTGGGTGCTCGGACGTGCTATTACACCCCTTGGGGCCCCTGCGAGCTGCAATTTTATCACCCGGGCTACATAAGATACCACATCCCCCACAGGATACCACACCCGGTGATAATATTTTTTAAGCCCAAACTGTTATCACCGGGGTGTGGTATCCTGTGTCGTCTACGGTAGGTGCCCAGGCAAGACTTCGTACTGCGTACTCAAGTCGAACGCAATGAAGATGGCAGCCGTGTGTGGGTGTGTGTGTGCATATGCAACATGTCCACATTCACAGTGTTAGAGGATCGTGTGGCAGATGGCAGATGCTTACACATACATCAGACAGCCCTCCCAGAGATGCAGGTTCACGAAATCGCAGAGATACCAATTCTTGTGAAGTTTCTCAGTTGAATCTCAGCACTGATATTCGGGGCACAAGTTCACAGCATGTCATCGTGCCATAGGTTGTGCCAGCCTGCTGTGCTTCGGTTCATTCTATTGCCGTGGGACTAGCAACATGACGACTGCACTTCCCAGATACAGGGGGCACGACATATGGCGGTGTGAATAAGGCGGTATACCCGATAGACTATGTATAAGGCGGCCGAAATGTGCGCCCACAACTCAGGCCCGGAATACGGCTGCAACCGCCTTATTTCGGGTCTGGCCCTGTATGCCCTGTATATAAGGCGGTAATAACTGCCTACATCTCAAACCCAAACTTATGGCGGTGATCATCTTCGGCACCCAAGAGCACATGGTGTTTGTGACGAGTATGCCGAGCATGAGTACCGCAGGGCTTGTGTCGTACTGGCATTGAAAGTACATACACATACGCTGCTTATTTGATTCAGACGATTGCAAGTGATCAGGCTCGTCTACATGTGTGAATACATGAGCCGCGACCATGTGACCATCTTCTACTCAACGACGCGCTGTAAACCTATTCATTCTCAAACCCTGAATACGGCGGTAGCCCCCTTAGACTATATCGCCCCCCCTGCAATTCTGCAAAAAAAAGAGTACCATTGTTCTCACGATCCAGCAAGTTGCCTTCTACACATACTTCTATATTCTGAAAGGGATAACGTGTTCGCCCGCTTACCCCACGTCCCACGCACATGCAGAGCAGTGGCGTTGTAGCGGTATTGTTGCACTTGAACACATCATGACGTTAGAGCTCTATGTGTATTCCCTAGGGCATTTTATGAAGTGCCTTCAATGTATGTCGCTGGATTGACGGACACTATATGGTGGACGTAGCCATACGGCGGAAAGAGTTAGAATACCGCGTCTCTTCGGGAGTACAGCAGTAGATTCGCGACAGCTAGTGCAGGCCACGACGACGAGTGAAGGCTTCTGAACAGTAGTGAAGAGAGATGCAGACTTGTAATCCTACGGAACTTAAACCCAAAAAGGATCATTGTAAGGTCTTCAAAACAACCCAGCTCAGTTCGGCTCAGGTTTTGGGACTGTTTTTCCTTGGTGCCTGCTCTCCGCCTCTCGAACAAACACTCCCAGCTCACCCTCCCGGCAAGCAGCCGCTCTTTGCCATCCTATCACACAGGCTAAAGCGGGAAACGCAGCCATGCAAAAGGGAAAGTTTTGCATGAATTTCGAAATGTGTTTTGTGGCTAAATGTGTCCAGCAAGCCCTCCCTCCCGCGCGTGCTGCTCCCCGCCTTCGCGCCCCGCAGGAGGTTCCTCAAGATAACTCTTCAGCCGTAGCCGCCTCAAAGAGTCTGGATTACACGAAGCACGTACAGGAGAGGCATTTCATTGAAGATGTCGGATGAAGAGCCGTGGGAGCCTTTGACCATGGCGGATTACCTCATGCTTGGAATTGTGGGCACCTTCCAAGCGTTTGCCCTGGGCGTGTGCATCCATCTATTTCGTTGGCGGAAGTGGCCACCATACGTCACCAAAAACGTCGACATCGTCATCATCATGGTGAGTGGGGTATGTAGTTAATGAGGGGGGTATTGCTGTTGGTGCTGTTGTTTCTGCGGCTGCCGCCGCTCAGCCACTTTCAGTAAGCGTGCCGTGCGTGCCTCTCGGATCGGCCTGGTTGAAGTCGTCGCTCATCCTGCAAGGTTGAGTGCTCCGAGGTGGCCGGCTTCCACGCAGGGATACAGCGAACGTCGATATCTGCACCTGGTGCTCGTGGTGAGGGCAAGTTGCTGTTGCAAGGGTGTGCTATCGCGCTTGCTCGCCCGTCTCACCAGGACCTTTCCCTGTGAGTTGCCCTTGTTCAAGAGCTACCACCAGTTGCAAACCATCTCTCTGTCTCTCTCTCTCTCTCTACCTCATTATCTTCTTGTATCCCTCTCCCGTTGACTTCTCGGTCTCTTTACGCGTTTCCCTCTGCCTCCTTCGACCACCCCCCGGCTGTCCCCCTCTCTTGCGCTTTTCGTGCTTCTCACCCCCTCGATCCCGCCGGCTGCATACCTCCAGACGTTCGCTGGGTTCGCGTGGACATTTGCAGGCGCTTTAGAGAACGGTCTAATCCGGAGGAGTGAGGGGGACATTCTTGCCAACTGCTCCCTCGAGGTGCGCGCGCGCCTCTCTGTCGGAGCGTCACAGCAGATAGTATTGGAGGGGTGGGGGGGGGGCGTACTCTTATGCTTTGCATGCCTTAGCGGTTAGACCATTGACCACGCGTCCTCGAGAGGACGGAGCATTGTTCCCACAGGACCGATCACCGATGGCCAATCGTTCCTTCCTACTTTGCCAAAGGTGGCTCAAAAATGTCTTGCCTAGTTTGTCTATCCTACCGATGTCACTTCCCGCCTTTTCAAACCACTTTCTACTCCCCAGTACCGCTACCGTCCTCTCCTCTCTATTCCATGCCTCAAACATCTCCCTGTACGTCCCTTGTATTCTTCCCAGCTCAGTCATGTACACTTCCCTCTCCTTTTCGTACCACGGACATTCCGCGACTACATGAACACTGTCTTCGCATTCGAAGCCGCAATCGCATTTGAACTTGTCGTCTTCGTCGTCTACCGTCCTATGTCTTCGTCGACGTTCGCGAAGGCCTATGTCCCCGGTCCTGAATTTGACCTTAAGCTTTGTCCCTGCATCCATTGGTCCATGTAGGTAATCCTTGAACCCTATTCCTTCTTCAACATTCCGTACACTTCTAGACCCTCCTTATCCTTGGATTCTTTCCTTAGATTCTGTTCTTCTCTGTCGGCACAAGCAACAGATATCTTCTTCTTGAACCCCTGTAGACCCTCCGTTTCCAGCGTTTCATCTTCGTCGATGTCCAATCCCTTCCATACGTCCTCTACAACCTTGACCCATTCCGTGGGTTGTCTACCCCTCTTTTTGTTTGCCCACTTCGCCTCCCATACTATTCTCGGCAACCTCTCCTCTCCCATCCCGCACATGCCATACTGCCATGTCAGCTTCCTTACGTCTCTTCCCGACCGTAGGGATTGGATCCCCAATTCTGCCCTGACTGCTGCATTACTTGTGCGCTTGGAGCATCCTAGGATGATTTTCGCTGCTTTCATCTGCGCCGCCTCGAGTCCTTTCACTACCTTCTTATTTCCTTCCCATACTTCTCCGGCGTACTCTAGCGGCGGTACGATTACGCTCTTCAAAACCGTCAGTTTGATGCGTGTATCAAGGTGCCGGTTTGCGAGTATTGGGTGCAGATTCCCTGCTCGTGCTTTGCCCTTTTCCGCTACCTTGGACATGTGTGCATTCCACGAGCAATCTTTTGCGATCTCTACTCCGAGGTATGTGTACTGGTCCACTACTGCAATCTCCTCGATCCCCCACTTCCATCTATGTTCTACTGGTTCCTCCCTGCCCTCGTTGCATACCATGACGGCACTCTTCGCAACGTTGGCAGACAATCTCCACTTATCAGTAAACTTCTTCGCCGCGTCAATTTGCAGTTGCAGTCCCTCAGGGGTGTCCGACATACCAACTAAGTCATCCGCAAACAGCATTCCTGACACCGAAGTTTCCGTGTCCCCTACTTTTACTCCCTTCCGGACTGCTTCTACGACTTCCAACAGATCGTTGATGAACACCTGGAACAATGTTGGGGACAGCGTGCAACCTTGTGGGACCCCTTGCTCAATGTCGAAGAATTTAGACAGTTCTCCGTCTAGCATGACCGCGCTTTTCGTACACTCTGTCATCTTCTTCAGTACCCTCCACATTTTCCCCTTGATCCCGTACTTGGACAATTGTTTCCACAGCCCATTTCTCCATACGGTATCGTATGCCTTTTTCACGTCCAGGAAGAAGCAGTACGTCCGCTTTCCCGCCCTCTTTCTACCTTGGATGATTCTCCCTACCGTGAATGCGTGGTCTACGCACCCCCTCTTCTGTCGGAAACCTGCCTGGCCCTCACTAATGCTACGTTTCTTCTCCAATACTCCCACTATCCTATCGTTCAGCAGCTTACAAAACACTTTTCCTACTGTGTTCAACAGTGTGATACCCCTGTAGTTTCCTGGGTCAGTCTTGTCTCCTTTCTTAAACAGGTTCACAACCACTCCTTCCCTCCATCTACTTGGCGCATACTCGTTTTTCCACACCCAGTTGTACAGCAGTACCATCAGCTGGATCATCCCCTTCCCCCCAAACTTCATGAACTCGTTTACTATCCCATCCGCCCCTGCTGCTTTGTGGCACTGCAGCTTGTTCACACACGCCTCAACCTCGTCCTCAGTGAACTCCTTTTCTAGTTCTACGTTCCCAACGTCTGCCTTCGATGTCTCTTCTTCTTTCTGGGCCCATGCGTCCACCTCCTTCTTAAACACTTGGTCAAAATCTTCATTCTCCGAAGGCACTCCAAGTCTCTTGTAGTGTCCTGCTAGAACTTCCCTTTTTCCCTTCCCACTGCTGACTAGTCCACCGTTCACACCTCGCAATGTTGCTACCCCTGTATCCCCCCCTTGCGCGGTCTTTTTTACCATCCCACTAATCCCCTCCCACATCTGCTTGACGTTCCCCTCCAGGCCTCCGTTGGCCTTCTGCACTACTTCGTCCCAAATGCTCTTTTTCTTCTTTTTCACTAGTCCCTTCACCTGTTTCCTCTTGGCCCTGTACTTTTCCCAACTCTCTTCAGACCCCTCACCCAGGTACTGCTTGAAGACTTCTCTACATTGGAGGGGTGGGGGGTGGGGTGAATTGGTTGTCAACATGCTAACTGGACTATCCCAAACGGGTGGTGCACTTGCGTCGACCTTGTGTCCCGATTGTGGTTTCACAAGGCGATGGTTTGGTCTGCCGGTCCCTCATGGAGCGTTACTCTGGTTCTCGTTTGTTCGCCCTTGTTTCTCGTTTCTGTCTGCAACCGCCCCTCTGGCCCTTTCGCCCGCTTTGTCTGCGGCCCCAGAGATTCCTGGCGTGGTCGGCGCTGTCCGCACACTTGTCGGCGTTTGCCATCCGGATATACCAAATGTGGAAGATTTTGGTCAAGCACGACGACAACATGTGGTCCGCAAAGTGAGCTTCGGTGGCCGTTTGTGTGCCGAGATCTTCGCCTGGGAGGGTCTCGTGTTGCGGATGAGGTTACAAACGCGCCTGGTCGAGGGTAATGGTGGGGCTTTCTCACGATTCACGATTGCTGCGAACGTTTAGGGGGCAGGAGTGTTAGCCTCTCATGTCTGTAGAGCCCGTTTGCATCTCGCTTCCCGAAAAGGGTCGGGAATGCCGTGGACGGAGTTCGGGAGGCCCGCGTCTCGATCGCGAAAACATCGACTGTGCCGAAAGCGACGGGCTATGTTCGCTGTGAGCACCTCCATCGTGGAGTAATTGTGTTGGAGAGATCGGCACAATCATGCGTACAGCAGTAGCTTGCCGCATACCGTGGGAACCACCGCTGACAATCGGGACTACAAAATTTGAACCGGGTAGGCCGCCGTCTGGCAGAATGAGACCACAGGCCGGAGCTGGAGGCCCCCAAAGCCAAGAGCAAGAATCCAAATTGGAATGTGGAGCAAATCCTGCACGGGGCAGGGGCGCCGCAGAATTCAATTTCACCCTTTGTCGAACATGTGCGGCGAGACGCCGCTGACCGGATGCCGCCCTCCCCTACCCGTACTGGCAACGCCTCACCAATCAGGTATCAGATCATGTTGCTTTCGAGCCCCTGCCTGGTTCCGCTGCTAGTTACCTTGCTTGTTCCCGGTGCCTACGTCTTCGACGAGGCTGTCAACTTGTGCAACACCACGAGCACTTCGAGGACCGTGGTTTTGGCGATGAACGCCTTCGGCTGCTGCATCATCTGCTTTCTTTGGTGAGCCTAAGGGGGGTTGATGTTGACGTCAGCGCGGTAGGTTTCTTATCGATGTCGTCGTTGTCTTCGTCGTCGTCGTCGTCGTCGTCGTCGCTGCTGCTGTTACCGATTGTGATGTCGGAGGCGCGGCGCCCTAGCCGTCGTGTTCCTCCGCCAAACTCACGGGATCCTACGTCCCCTCCGGTGTCTCTTTTCAGGTTCGTGTGCGTCCGTCAGCTGAGGTGGGTCCGCAAGCAGTTCAATGAGTACAAGGAGATGACGCGCACCCTGCTGTGCGTGACTCTGATCTCGGTCAGCTACGCGCTTGTGGTGGTCGTTGCCCTGGACAACAGCCACCAGGTTCTCGCCAGGAGACTGGCCATCGTGTGTGAGTCGAGTCCCTTGTTCTGTGTTTGGCTGCGTACCTGTTGTCGTTGCTGTTGCCATCGCCGTTGTTGTTGGACACGCGGGTGGGACAATTTCTTCTAAGTTTGTTCACCTGGCTTTATCGTATTTTGCGAGATGGTGGGGTCACCCTCAGTCGAATCGTATCATTTTACCGAACAGGACGAAATCCTCTTTGCTACGTACATCGAGGAGAGCTACGGTAACTTTATGAGGGTTGTTGATTCTCGTTGTGTTTGGCGGTTCGCATTCGCGGTAGGGAGAGGGAAGTCATCGGGAGAGATCGCCGGTGGAGACCTTCATCTGGTGTCCCTGTACCTCGGACAGGAGCGATTGGCGGAGCGAGTGAGAACAGAACATGTTGCCCCTTTTTGAGCAAGATAAGCGAGAGATACGCTTGGTGCAGAGGGGGGTGCGAGTAGATCATCCACCGGACACATATTTTCGGTCTACATCGTCTTGGTTCGGGGCTATGCAGATTCGGGCTCTATTGGGGGAGTTTGACATCCGAAGGAGGTGAACTCAGGCCTCCGATACTTGAATGGGTGCAGGCTCGCCAATTTCAGCCCTGAAACGCAAAATCAACGCCCCCCCGTTTCCGTTTCCTCCCCCCGCAACATCCCATCACTATACAGACCCCGTGCTAACGACGCATACCCTCCTTTGGGGCTCCATCGGCGAGCCTTTGGTGAAGAAGTGGGAGGGAGACGAGGAATACCTGTGGTCGTTCACCAAGGGCTTCTCGGAGCTACCTTCTCCGGCGCAGGTTGTTCTTGTCGTAACCATTCCTCGATATTATAGGGTATCCACTATGGATTGACGCGGAATTTTGACCTTTGAGGATTGACGCCAACATAAAGTAACGGTTGAGGGTTTTGACGGGAAAAAATTCGCACCGCGTGTGCCCGTTGCACGTGGGAGGGAAAATACAAAATGGTGGTGTAGAGTTGACGCGTTAACGCCGGTCATGTTCACGACCCCGTCATGTTTCGGGATGCCACCCAGGGTCGACATGCTGAAGCGAAGACTCACACTCCCAGGCTCCCAGGAGACTAGGTGTACCCCTCCGCCTCATCCCGCCGACCTTCCCTCTTTTGCCGCGGCGACTTCCCAGGCGTCAAACTGCCGTTGCTGATGAGTGAGGCAGCTGCTCGCTGTACTGCTATGTACCGATGTCACTGCGGCAGCAGAGCACCGAACCCCGTGAGGGGGCGGGCGAAATGCACCTACTGACTGGCCAAGTCCGTGTACCCTCCCTTAATCCTCTATATGTGCTCCCTTCGAGGGCGGGACTCCCCCGACTACTGCCTATGCCCCTTTTTGCTGCCGAAAGCCCGTGCGCAATCGCGATGGCTCATCTACCGAACGAGCGCGCCGAACACGCGAGTCCGGCCACTGGGCCGCCGTGAGAGCTGCCGAGACGTGTGTGTGCAGGACCGCTAGGAGCAATCAGTAGGCATGGCCAATGTGTTCGCTGCTGACCGCACTCCTTTCGTGATTTGCTGATGGTAACAGAGCACAGAGCAAGCGTGTGTGAGCCACAGTCTGGCGATATTTGAAGTGTCAATCTCTTCGCGTCGGTTACGTTTTGACGCTTTTTCACAAACATTTCGCCGTCAGAGTGTGCCTCCAAAAACGCGGCGTAACCTCGTCACGTCAAAACTTCCTGAAATGTCAATCTTTCATGTCATTTCAACAACACGTGGATTCCCTCTATTGTATTTTCTTGAAACAACATACATTTTTTTTCTCTAGCCCGAAAGAAATTCCTGGGAACAATGCTGTTCTGGTGTGGTGGCCTGATTTACCAACCGAACGATTTGATGTATGTACAACGTGCCAGCTTTCATTCTATGCTTTCATTCTATGCGCCGTCGTCAGACACACGGTAAGAAAGTGAAAAAGATCCCAGCGTTTAAAGAGGCACATAGATAAAGGCCAGCGTTCTTGTCGTCCGCGGGATCCGCCGACAGGAGGGTGGGGGGGCGTGTAGCGGAGGAGAGCATGAGGGTGTGTTATGAAAACGCACCGTGCGGAGATGGCCATTTCAGGAGCGATGCGACCATTGAACAAGAGTCAAAAACTCCCCGACGTCTGCCGAGGATGTTTTCCCTCTGTTCGTGTTGGCGTCGTCGTGAGATGTGTGGTTTTGGTGGCGAGTAATCCGGGTTCAAATTGCCTCCCACCCAACCGTGGCGGCGAGCTCAAAGCACAGATTTCGAACTTGGTATAAGGAACGTTCGGTGATGTGACGGATCTGAAGTATGCACCGTCAGATTCTGAAGAAGTGACGAAATCAGCTCGCCACCAGCCGGTCGGACTCTGGTTGCCTCTACAGTGTTTTCTCGCGGAAAAACAAGAGGCGTACTCGTAAGAAACGGGGGTGGGGGTGGGGGGTGGAGACGACCTTTTTTTATGGATCACACCTCCCCCGACATTTGTTGGGGATTTTTTGCTTTCGTCGCTGGTGATGATCTTTGTTGGGATTCGTATCCCTGCCTTCACCGAACCGTTGCTGCGGCAGAGCACATGTCCGCCACGATAGAATACCGCACTCCAAACGCGTGTTCGGGGTTCGGGGGTGGGATGGGGAGGGAAGGACTTCAGCAATGATGACCTCCGTTAGAAAACAACGAAACTTCCCCCGTGTCCTAAGTTATCTGGCTGAGACATTTATCGTATGCCACAGTGAGAGATGTTGTTGTTGACCGAGAAAGAACACGAGGTGCCAAACAGGACCTGCGGTGCCTCGAGGCACCGTTTTGTTTGTGATGTGTATCGGTTGCGGATACACACCGACCCCCTGTGTCTCCCCTTCTGAAACCCCTTTAGCTCAAGGCTAGCTTGGCGGAGCAGCTTTCTGTGGAGCAGCTGCGGATCGAGTTTCGGGGGTATATGCAGACCAAGGTGGCCCGGGAGCTGGTGGACTTTTACCTCGAATCGCTAGACAGGGAGGAGATCCACGGGTTCTTCGGCAGACAGGTATGAATTAAAGAATACAGATAGTGCTTTCTTCCTTGCGGAACGCATGTGCCGATTGTCTCAGGAACAGCAAACACCATCCAAAGTAGGCCACGTGACAGACGTGTGCCTTATGCAAGAAGAACGCGATCTTCGATACATCTTCCCAACAACACGGAAAGCTCAATGTGTAGCAACCGAGTCGAGACCTCCATGTCTCACGGGGACAAAATCCTGCAGCATTGGCATGAACATGTAGCGGCAAGTGATGTGGTGAACTTGAGGCAGGGTTTTGCTGAGAGACGAGGCAGTCTGTTTCATTCGAGAGGCTGGACTCTGTGGGTGTTTTGGAGCAGGTCGGTACCTGACTCTCGGGGCGAGGAGACGAAGATCACATGATCGACGTGACATTTTCACTCGAAAATCTTGGGTGGAAGAGATGTCACTCCTTGAGACGGCCGTATGTTTCCGACGACTTTAGTTTTACAAGGACAGTCCCAACAGCGATTTTTTGCCCCCAACCCAACCCACACTGCCCCCTCATTCGGCTGTCGGTTGTGTTCTCAGGCGGTAACGATGCGCATTGTGGCGAGATATATCAGAGAGGGGGCCCCCGAACAGGTGTGTCCTGTAGCCGATCCGACTATGGCTGCTGAAATTCGTCTGCTGAAACTTCCCCGAGATTACAATAGTACTTCGTATAACTGCACCAGTAGCGACCGAACGTATCGAACCTGCTGAAAGTGCAAGTTTCCCTCCTATACTTGGACGCTCACAAGGTAGAACGCGGTAAAAACTTGGACGATCATAAGATAGAGCGTGGTAGACCCCTTTTTTTTTACCCCGGGGCTACAACAATAGAAACCACATGGCCTCCCTTTCATACTAGATTTCACGTATGTATCATTAAGACGGACACGCTCCCCTAGAAACGCTTCGTAATCTGCGGGGCGTAACTTGCTGTGCTCTGCACAAAGTTCATTCCCCAACCAGGAATGCCCAGGGGTGACATGCCCAAGTTGCTTGTCCCCACTAGAATCGTGAGTCGGAGAGATGGCACTGGTCGGGGAGATGGCACCGGCGGGGTGCGCAGAAAAATACCAGAACGGCATGATTTAATTCGATTTACGCACCAGGGTCGGAGAGTATCTCTCCCAAATCCAAGATTAAGATTGAGCTCCTTTTCAGCTGCCGGAATGAGGTACAGGTGCGTACCTTTTACATGTGGGGACGGTGTCAGCGGAGCGCCAATCCTGTATGTACGTATGCATGGTGGCGGTTTCACGCGGGATGCCAGTTGTTTTCGTTGTTCAATTTGTACGGAGGTTGCCAACCGTACACTCAACGAAACACACAACGCGCAAGCCGCACCCTACCCCACCTTGGACAACACGAAAAAACTACCACTATGTACTGCTGCGTACGTCCTGGTATCCGTAGAGGAAGCCCGAAACGAAAGCGGGAGATAACTGATACCGTACGTACCGGCACCTCACATGGAAACGACATTGTTTGTTGTCAAGACAGAGCCGAACTGGCATGAAACACAAGACTCGCTGCTGCATGGAAAGCGGTTACGTACCAGCCTACGTTGCCGTTCTCGATTTGCTTCCAACCAGCAACGGTGCCTACACGTGGTTCCATGCTGATATCAATACTAGTTCAGATAGATGGCACCGGGGTGCGTGCGTACAACACCTGTGTATTTCATCGGGGATCGCACCGGTCGGAGAAATCGCACCTGGGTGCCTTGAAAATATTAAACGAACTGAATTCATTGCATATCCGCACCGGGTCGGAGAGATGACACCGGTCGGAAAGATGGCACCGGGGTGCTATAAAAAACCTGAGGAAAAAACATTAAAAAAAAAAAACGCACCCGGTGCCATCTCTCCAACTATTACGGCGGTAGCCACAAAGCACCGATAACGAGGAGTCCGCGCCCGACGGGGGACAGGCCGTCGTTCCTCAACAGCTCCGGCTTTAGTGGCGATCCAAACTTTGGGGAACCATCGAAATATACTTGTGTTTGTTTCTACAGCTTGGCATGTTTTGGACGGGGTCTGTTTTGACGGTGGGCAGAGCTCTGCAAGCCAGTATTGGGGGGTGGTTTTCTGGGCACCTCCAAAACAAAGTTGGAGATAGGTTCATTGAGCGTGGTAACGAGAGATAGGCGAATAGAAGGCTTCATTCGTTGCATCGGCCCTCGCATTGGCGAACCAAAGCCTTTCCACGCCCTCAATGCTACCAAGGCCTACGAAATTCACTCTGGCCAAGTCTCGAGCGAGTTGGTCAGTTCCTCTAACGGTGCGTTGCCGCGTGTGAAGTTTGGTGCTCGGAGCTGGGAGTAAGGCGTGAATTAAAAGCTCGTTCACTCGTCAAGACACGGCATTTGCCAGGTTCAGAGCGAACCCAGGGCGTATCCGAGATGTGCAAGTGTTGAACGCGAAATGCTTGACGCCTCCTGCTGTTTCCATGGCAAGTAGCGGTCTGTGTGGGGAGCACCGGCGGTGTCAAATGTGTTGGCCAGAGGTGATCACGGGGCAGAAAATCGTCGGCGATGCCATAGTTGCACGGAACCCTTTGTGATCTGTATTTGTTCTTTTGTTGGACCTGGAACCTGGGAGGACAGTAATTTGAACAATACCCCCCTGGCGAACGTTACGCAGGCAGCGAAATACGCACCCGATTCTAGGCGTGATATATGTTTTACGTTGGACCGCAATGCGTTGCGCTGGCAGGTGAACATATCGGGGGCGTGCCGGGAGGATATTTTGTCGACAGACGTGACAGCCTACGACATCTTCGACCGCGCTAGAGCAGAGGTTCTGGCCTTAATGGAGGTAAGTCGAGAGAAAGGCGCTTGGTGGGAAAACCTGTCATTCCCTTGCTTGATTTCAGGCTGCAACGCTAACACGTTCTTGTTTGTTTTGCAACCCGCCGTGGCCATCAGCACACAAGGGGGGCACAAATAATGTAGAGCTGTCAGAGTGGAACCTGGCTGTAGGGGCTGCTTTGATATCATTGATGACGTTTCAGAATGTCTGGCCTCCGGAGATACGAATCAACGATTGGTTCGAGACATGTGCTACCCAATCAGTCTGTTCGATCAAAGGCGAACCGCTGTTGTCGCTTGATCAGCTTTCTTCGCCACTCAGAACGGCTGAACAGCGGTGTGCTAAACCACCCTCCTGTTCATTTGGTGCTCGCCGGCCGCGTCCAATGAACTCCACACACGAACATTCGTCTCAGTTTTCAACGATATCTGTCATTCGCTTCTCTCCGCGCCTCGCTTGCCACTCCAATCACAATGAACACCAACGAAAACAGGGTGACTTCAAGGCGGGTTTCGTGGAGACGGAGGGTTTCCGGCGAATCGCCGTCGCGTCCTACCTGGAGGACCGAGAGAATCGTCTGCTGCAGGCCGGGGGCTTATTGCCGGCGGATACCCTGCCAGCGCCCTGACGTGTGTTTCCTGTTCCTCTCGATGGGTCACTCCTTTGGGCCCACTCATGCTTGCTTGCTCCCGGTGAGAGAGTTGTTGACACCCTCGTCGCGTTCCTCCTCCTCAGCAGCTGCCGGGACCGCTTACGCTTCGTTTTCTGGTCTGGAGGTAAGTATTATCGAAATCCGGACTGGCGGGGAAGCCGTAGGTCAAAGTGGAGAGGTGGAGAGTTCGATGCTACTGTCAAATGTGGCATTGATGGCGGCAGTGCGAGGATGTCCCGTGTGCTACCGCGAGTGATCGTGTCGATGAAGGGAGGTGTCACGATTGGAATGGCGACATGACTGTTGAGCCTGATGGCGGTGATGGAAATGGTGGCGCTGGTGGCAAGGGAAGGTGGTGATGCTCGCACACAGGTTGTGCTCCCGCCGCAACTGGCCGTGGTGCTGCCACCGCAGGCTACATGTATCGGATGGCTCCTCAGAAGAAGACTGGAAGGTGCTAAAGTCACCGCGGTATGTGCTTGGGGTCGAAGGCGTCCGTGGACGACCAACAGGACGGACCCCCCGGTCGTATGGGTATTGAGTGTGGGAGGGCTTGTACGCAGGATCTACCGCACACAGTACTTCTTGCGGGGGATGTCGCGGCCTGTGAACGGGTGGCACGGTGCAACCGACGCGGCTCAAATAGTTTTTTTCTTCACATCGACTGCGCACACCCGGTGACCAAGGAAAACACTTCGGTCCTATCGGGATAGAACCAGGTGGACAGGAGGCTCCGCAGCGCCCGGAGTGATGCCGGGAGACGGTGGACAGGCCGGTGTGGCCTCCGGTTTGAAACCACCGATGAAGACTACAGTGACTATTCTACGAGCATTTTCCATCTCTGCGGATGACTTTTTGCGTCCTGCGGATGGCTTTTTGCGTCTAGGGAGGGGTCGAACGCGGTTTGTACTGGAAGGGATGACTCGATGTCGGTATCGTGTATGTAGTATGTCGACGAACGTCGTGTAGAAAACTGTTGTTTGTTTGCACGGCTGTATTTTCCGTGTTGTTTGGTTTTCGTCCGTGCGTCTCGTGCGCATGCACGGATTATTGTTACCATATCGTTCACCCCGTCCGAGAGAACGGCGTCTTTTAGGAAGGCGATGGACCAATATGTAGCAGTAGGTAGGGTTTGTGTAGACGGATTATTTCGCCGATGTTTGTTGTTTGCTTGTTGTGTGGGAAGTTGTGGAATCACGATGCTTGCAGGGTTCTGGAGATGCGCACCGCTTTCATGCGCGAACTTGATTCCGATGACCACACCATCGGTGTCTTGGTGCGGTGGAAGTCGTTTGTCCTGCTAGATAGATACATGTAGTTCGGGACACATTACACGGGCGGGGGCGTTTGGAGATTCATACAGGTGAATCGAAACTGCTGCCATCTCCTCAGGGTGGATGCCAGATAGACGACCAGGTAGGACTAGCAATGTTTCGTCTTCAGGCCATTACACCGCCCCCGACTCCGACTATTGTTTGGTCGTACACAACATCTGCACAACCGCTATGAGGTATCAGCACTACACGTCTGTTGTTTGTGCGAAGCACTCCAAAGGATACTGCGAGAATGCACGCGAGAGAGCACGTGATGAAGTGGCGTGTGCCACCCTAGCTATCACATCTTTTTCACACCCGTTTCATAACGCCCTTTGTAGGTGGCACGCGGGAGAGCACGTGATAAAGTGGCGTGTGCCACCCTAGAGTGTCACACCTTTTTTACACCCCTTTCACGACGCCCTTGGTACGTGGTTTCCTGCTTTGAGCACACTGGATCACCCGGGCAACATTTGTATCACAACCCGGTGGGTAGGGTCCTGCGAGCGCGCTGCATCACACGGGCGAAATTATCACACACCCTGTAGGCCGGGTCCTGTGAGCGCCCTTCATCACACGGGCGACGTTATCACACCCCATTCACACACCCTTGTTATCACACCAGTACCTGGACGACGCGACTACTTGCAAGACTTGCGTTCATCACTCAAGCTTTAAGGAGCTGAAACCAAACCATTAGACTGGTCAGCGCTGACTAGTCTGATGGGTTGGTTTCGGCTTCAAATAAATTTTGTCGTGGGGAACTATGTAGGACGCAAGCAAGTGTCAGCAACATACCAACCAAAGCTAGAAACAACTACCACAGAGGCCCTGCCCACAAGGGCTCTGTTAGTGTGCACTGCCGCCCTCAGCGGTCTGTGGTGTTGAGACTGGGTACTATGTTATCCCAGGGACAGCAGATGAAAAAGGACCATGTATTATATATACCCGTCACGCAAGCCCCTCAGGCAAGCTGGTATCCGACACGCGAGCCCCTCAAGCAAGTGCCGGGAGCACACCACCGTGTGCTCACCCGGAGGCCCCACACTTTGACCTCAACCGCATACATACCCATCACACCCATACTTCCCATACGCGTATCCCCCACAGAGGATGCACAGATCGGACTCATATCCAAGGACCACAAACAGGCTTGTTGGGGTACGACGGTTCTCCCCAGCGCGGTACTGCTGCAGGATTCTCAGCAGTAGCCCGCTCAGGGTGTTGGTTCGAGGGAGAGCTGCCTTTCCGGGTGCGGGCGTGGGTGCTGTGGTGCTGCGGGAGTCAATAAACTCTGCTCCGCAGGTTTCAGCGGCACCCGCGGTGGCAGGCGCAGCCGGTGCTGTGGGAGTCTCAGCAGCAGTAGATTCTGTTCCGCGGGCTTCAGCAGTACGTACGGTGTCATGCATGGCTGCTGAGGCAGTCGGCTCAGCAGGGGCTGCACGTTCCCCGTCGGACGGGTTGAAAAGGACGCTATGGAGCGTGGAGCCGACGCTGGAGTCTTACCCATTGCAGTCTGAGCCGCGGGGCTTTCAGCAGTGTTGTTAAGTACACCCCCCTGGATGGCATTGTCGGCCTCCATGGCTTTTACGAGCAAGTTGTGTACTTGTGATCTCGCGCTCTCATGTTCACACGTATTCGCGCCTATTATTTTTTTAGGGCAGACATTGCAGCTCCGGTCGCCCCGGGGGTTTAGTTGGTATCCTCGAAACCTTCTAAAGGGGTTCGAATCCCGGCGTAAGCGAGCTTTTCTTGCAAAGTGAGTTTTCTCTCGCTTCCGCTCCTGGCCAAGTGGATAGCGCTAGTTTGTGTGTACGCAGAGGGAAGAGTGTGCTGAACTCTTCTCGCATTAAAAAATCGAAGGCAAAGTACCGCAGGAGGGGAGGGTAGAGAGGGGCTCTTCTGTGTGACCACGGGTTGGAGTAAACGGCTCTAGTGCTGTGAGCGCTGATCTGAAGTGAAGACAAAAAAAATAAAAAACAAACAAAACAAAATCCTGGAATAACACCGCGGACGAGTCTTTCCGCGACGGACTTGGTCATTTCTGCTACAACTCTCGCTGTGGTGCGTGCGCATCGTCCATGTGTTACCCACGTGTAAAGACGCACACACACCAATATCCGTCAGGTTTGATTACCCAAAGTAGGTAACCAAGACATCTAAATAAGTCCGTTGCCTATTTCCATGGCTTGGATTACCATGATATTGTTGGAGGTAGGCTCATGACTGCTGGAGTTTAGACTTGAATTTGGGCCGACTTTCGCCGGCCCACTGCGATCGCTGTTGTGCAGATCCGAAATCGAGCACATCATGCATTCGTTCAATGGTCTTTTATCTCTACTATTTGGCGCGGAGTTTTGGCCGGATTGAGACCTCTGAAGTGGGTCACCAACTTGGATGAAGTTGCTTCCCAATAGCTGTAAAGGTTGCACTGGTTCATTTGATCGCGAGACCTTTCTCCGGCCCAAAGTAAAATCAAATGGTAAAATCAGCTTTCCGATAGAGGGTATGACTTGCTTGAGCTTTGGTGGAACGACGAGGTCTGTGTGAGGAGCGCGAAGGTAGGTGGTGAAAGAACTGGGTTCAGCCGTGTCCAATCTGGGGAGGGGATAAAAAACTTGACCCCGCTGAAACCGGCGGCGCGACTTTTTGCCTCTATATTGTTTCAATTTCCAATATGTAGGCGCGAACGCGTGTGCGGTGCCACACCGTGCGATGAGCGGGGGTTCCGTCGATAATATGTGGCCCAACTTAGGGGGTGTGGGGTGTGGCATCTATGTCACCGTGTGTAAATAAATGACGTTTCGGGATTCTAAAAATAGCACATTGTGTACATTTTCGGGGGGGTATCTACGTTAATGTAAGGGCGATATCTCATGCAACCTAGTAACCTAGGAGTTAGGACGAGAGCGCCGTCTTGCACTGCTACCCTTCACTGCCGTCCTTGGGTCCGCAAATTGTTCATGTTTTTTCAACCCACTGCACATGATGTCGAACGATTTTAAATACACAGTTGGTTGCAGCCTGCGCAATCGCAGCCGGCGGTCAGCAGTGTTGTTAGTGTATCAACACAGAGCTTACCTGCTGTACCATTTAGTGTGCCGTCGTCGTCTCGCAGTGGTCCCCCAAAGTGGAGGGTCTTGGTCTCTGGTATGTACAAGAGTCTACGCTGTGGATACAGCAGTACTACTTGTATAGTAGATACGTTTCAAATAATAAGGCGGGTTTGCGAACACAGATCGTCAGCAACCCTTTGTGGTCTCGGTCCGACCGGTGGCTCCCAAACCCGAACGACGAGGCTAAGGAGACGCAGTGCACTCATACTTGTGTCATCTGTGTGCGCGTGAGGTACGGACAAACGAGCAGGAGCAGGGAGCGAGGGAGGCCGACCCGAAGGCACTGTAGCTTTTCTCCCCGCAATAAATAACGCCTCGAAACAACGGCGGTCGTTCTTGGTGTTCTCCGTAGATCACGGTTTCGATGAGAGAGCAGGATCTTTCATACTACACTTTGCAGCGAAACGCGAGCTACATACCCTATCGAGGCGTGCCAGCGGACGTCGAGGTCAGCGTATTAGTAGGGTTTGAATGCGTCTATTGTACCGTCGCCGTCTCCCGGGAGCATCACGATCTTCATCTCGCGGTGGCAACACGAATCAAGAAACCCAGTCTCGCCTCTTCCCGCAGGTGTCAGCAGGCGGCAGCAGGTGTGTGTGTGCTGGATGCTGGACGAGTTGGGTTGTTTCACCGTGTTTCGCCGTCGCTATCGGCTGCTCGTTGAGCTACAACATACTCATGAACACGCCCAACCCCGAGGTCATTGTTATCGACATCATTGATTGCTCCATCAACCACCAGACTAGCCTACTGCTGTACTCACACGTGCATCGATTCCGATCCCTGCCTGCCGCGGAATGCGTATGCATACCTACACAGTAGTACCTGCGGCTGGACAATTTTGCTGGCAGCTGCGCTACAGAGCGTGGCTACACCCAGACCAGTATGGCGCAGGTTGTTACGGCGCGAGGATTGTCGCCTGCTGTGTGGTCATCCTCGAAGAGTGTACACCGAAAGGGTCAAGAGAGCGTACCATCATTATCGATCGGTTGTTTTTCTCTTTTGTTATATCCACACACCCAAATCCACGTGTCCTATTTTCACGGAAAAATACGGGAAAATATGGGGTGGTTTTTGAGATCATGCAGCGTGGTTTGAGAGTGGTCGAAACCCACAGTGCATATAGGTTTGACAAGAGCATGCACAACAGTTGATCGTGGGCGCGCATATGGCGTAGAGGCGTCATCCTTTCGCAGCAGACAGGGAACTGTCATTTTAGCCTTACAGATACCATCTCCGCACGTATATCTGTCATAATCGATTCTGTGTTCATACAAGCAAGGGGTGTTTATTTACATAGCAAGCTGTAGGTTTATTCTATGCATATTTATCGTTTACAGCAGTGGTGCTCCCTGGGAGTGAGCGACGGCGAGCGACTGCGATAGAAAGGAAGGGAGTGGAAAGGGAAACTGGACAGAAACGGAGCCGCTAACTACCTGCACACAGAGAGTGAGTGGTCGGATTCGCTCCACACTGGAACTGCGTCGCATAGTCTATATGTGGAGTCGGGGGCAATCGCGCTCTCTCATCTTCTTAGCGAACGCTCTGGCAAAACAAACGCACAGAATCACTCGGTACTGAAAAGCGCCCCGGGGCGCCCACTCCCGTGTTTGTTTATTACAAGAGCACCACGAATTCCACATCTCTATCCACATAGATATGTAGCAGTCCAGGAAACGAACAATGAATTCATTCCTGCCCAGCCCGTGTTTCCACTAACGCCTGAGCACCGCAAGCGATATCTCTCCCCTGTGTGGGTACGATGCTCAACAGGACGATTTGATAGTCATCGTTTTTAATATCTACGGCGGTGTGGATGTGATAGGACGTGTTTGTAGAGGCAAGGTGACAGGAAGAATCGGGGTGATCAGGCTTGGTGCTTGTTCAGTCCTTCATTACCGTAAATACATCACAGACCACATGGGGTGGGACGAACTAGATCCCATTGTACTTGTGGGACGAATTAGATTCCATCGTTCTTGTTTGGAAGCTGAGTTGCGAACGTGTGAGTCGTGACAACGAGTTAGAGCGGTGAACAGCAGTGAAGGGTGATGCAGTGTGTGATGACCAGACGTAGACCCCGACATAGGGGATCCCAGTTTGTCTGCATATCAAGGCCTTCAACACGCCGCCACACTTAGTGCCGACTGTCTCGGTCGAACGAACGCTCCCAGCTCACCCTCCCCCGCGTCACTCCGTCCCTGCCATGTCATTATCGACTAGACTAGGCGGGAAACGTAGTCAATTCACACGGCAGCATGTCATATGCATGGGCATCTTTCGAGATGAGATCTTTCCCGCGTCCTGTTCATTACCCTGAACAAAACATCTACCCCCCAACCCGCACGCGTTACAGGAGAGGTCTCAAGGTATATAGCCCAGACTCGCGGGTCTTTGTTCTACGAATCTCGTGAAAGGGTAAGGTAAGATGTCGGACGAAGAGCTTTGGGAGCCCTTGACCATGGTGGACTACCTCATGCTGGGAATCGTGGGGACCTTTCAGGCTCTCGCCCTGGGCGTTTGCGTCCACCTCTTTCTCTGGCGGAATTGGCCACCGTACGTCACCAAGAACGTGGACATCGTCATCATCATGGTGGGTGGGTACTTGAAACGGCCAATCGCTGTTTGTACTGTCGTTCTTTCTGCGGTTGCTGGTGCTCAAAATCGTTCAGTCAGTGTTCCAAGCAAGCCGCTTGGATTGACGAGGCCGAAGCCGCTACTCATTATCCAACGTTGGGTGGTTTGTTATTGTTCACCCCCACACAGCAATGCAGAAACCGACGACAGTTTCACCTGGCGTTGCTCGTCGTGGTAATGGCAAGTGGACAGGAGTTGTGCGAGGATGTACTCATGGTGTTGTTTCTGTCGCCGAGATTTACCTCTCTCGATGATGCTCCGCTAAATCGAAATTGCCGCCCGCAAGCGGACTCTCTCTACATCCTTCTGTCGCCTACACCGTCCCTCTACCATATTTTCAATGTGCCCGCTTCGATCTTCCCTGCCCCCCCCCCACGGCCGACCCTGGCTGCCTCATCGATACAATATTTTCGTGTCCCCTCTCCGATGCGCGTGCAGACTTTCGCGGGTTTCGCATGGACGTTTGCGAATGCTCTGGACGTTGGCTTTGTCCACAGGAGCAAGGGCGACCTCCTTGCCGAGTGCTCCCTAGAGGTGCGCACGCGCCTCTCTCGGGAGTCCCAACGAATGTTCTTGGGGGGGAGGGGGGGGTCATGAGCCCATAAGTCGTGGTCACCTTATTCCCTTCACACGGAGTGTTTCAGGGTGGTCCCGTGAGGGGGACGGCCATTTCTCGCCCTGTTCCCCTCTTGACCACTGCCGTGTTGTTGTTTGTCTCTCCTGTGTACCTTCGTCTCTGGCGCTGGTTGGGCAACGCCTATCCACACAAGCGTTATTAGGTTTTTCGCATCGTAGGAACCGTTCGCGTTGCCTGGTCACCAGCGCCCCTTAATGCCTGTGGCGGGTGCTTGCCTGATCTCGGTGATGCACCTCCCGGCATCGTTATGGCGCATGTTTAGTCTCCCTCCCCACCCCTCCCTTTTCGTCTCTACAGAAACTACTGACTTGGTCAACGCTGTGCATACACATGTTCGCGTTTTTCATCCGGGTGTACCTGATGTGGAGAATTATGGTCAGGCATGACGAAGACGTGGGGTCTCCAAAGTGAGCTTCGGTTCCCGTGTGTTAGTAGAGACGTTTCTCCTCTACTGATTTGGAGGACATTGCCGTTGCGGATGAGTTGAGAAACAAGCCTGGTAGAGCATGCCGACGGCGTGAATGTCGACGTTTCGAAGACAGGGTTGCGGTCTTCGTGTTTGTGGAGGTCATTATTTACGTCTCACTTACCCAGACGTTTCACATATCCCGCCGTCTGAGGTTACGCGGTCGGCATCTCCGCCATGTCCGTTGCGCCGAAATAGGGGCGTTGCGTTTCGGTGCCGGTGCCCTTCATCGTTGAGCAATCACGCGTGACACATCGGCCGAGAACGATGGATAATGCCAGATTTTTTTTGTTTCTACGGCGGGAGGGACCACCGCCGACAAGCAGTCCGTATAGTTTGAAACCGGTCTTGGTTACGTTCTGACGGACGTCGGCTATGTGGGATAATTGGTTTCCATACGGGGGTTGTGGGTCCTCCTACTTGTAGCTTTTTTTTTTTCGAAGTTGTACACTTTTCGGATCGTTGACCTGTGACCGCACGGGAGGCGTTCGCGTAGCTTGAGCCGTTATGGATGTCTGACGGTACTGACCAGATATCGGAACCGTTTCATGAATCAATATTTTACGAAGCACCAAATGGCGGAGTCCCGTAGATTCACTAGGGGGGGGAAGCTTTTCTTCGGCCTTTTGCCTCACGCGTTGGTTGAGACGCCGCGGCGATGCTGACTGGATGCCGCTCTGCCCCACCTGTTGCTGACCACGCCTCGCCACTCAACCATAAGGGGTCAGATCTTCTTGCTTTCGAGCATCAGCCTGGTTCCGCCGCTAATTGCCCTGCTTGTTCCCGGTGCCTACGTCTTCGACGAGACTATCAACTCGTGCAACACCACGAGCACTTCGAGGACCGTGGGTTTGGGGATGAACGCCGTGGGGTTCTACACCATCTGCTTTCTTTGGTGAGCAGAGGGGGGGGGGGAGGGGATACTCATAGTTGTTCATGCCGTAGTCGCTAGACCAATGACTTCGCATCCCTACACAGCCGGGACGGAGCACGCCAGGTTCTCACCGAACCAGACTCTCACATCACCAAGCGCGAAGCGCCGTGAGGTATTCGGCGATTCGCATGAAGGGTGAGCTGCATCCTGCTAAGGGTGTTCGGCATCTTGTGCCTGCTTCCTTGCGTACGGATGACAGCTGCGTATGACTTAGGTTATTTTCTGGTGCGTCCACTTCCAGAGACAATTATAAGCACTGCTGTGTAACTGCCTCGAGGGTGCTTGGCCAATTTAACACAACGTGGTGTGATTATCCCCTTTGCGCGGAGTGAGGGTTCTCGACCCCGTGCAACATAATCTACTCCACCACCATTCATGGTTACCGCAAAAAAAAGGCAACACAAAAAGCGGTAGTTGCAACCTTGTTGCTGAGCTCACGAAGTGATCGGCTTGTTTTACAACATCGCTGCCAAGCGACGGACAAAAACCAACCCGGATGGCAAACACCGGGGGGGGGGGCGGCTTGTTTTACAACGTCGTTACCAAGCGACGAAAACCCAATCTCGATGGCAAAATTTGACGTCGTTGTTTCAACTTGGTGATGTATTTGTCGATGTCGCTGTCGTTGGCCTTGCCGTTGTGGTCGTCGTCGTTGCCGTCATTCTTGTTCTTGTTCTTGTTCTTGTTCTTGTTGCTGTTGGTGGTGGTGGTGGTGGTGGTGGCGTACACTTGGCTTCCATCCACAAGACCCCCTTTGTGTCTTACACGTGTTCTCTGGTGTCTCTTTTTCAGGTTCGTGTGCGGCCGTCAGCTGAGGCGTGTCCGGAAGCAGTTCAACGAGTACGAGGCGATCAAATGGACCCTGTCCTGCCTCATTCTGCTCGTCTTGAGCTACACCGTCGGGGTGAACATAATCCTCGACAACAAGCATCACGTGCTCGCCAGAAGACTGGCCATCGTTTGTGAGTCGAGTCCCTTGCTCCTTGGTTTTGACTTTGTCGTTGCTGTTGCAGTTGTTTTGCTGTTGCTGTTTGCTGGTCGTGTTGCTGTTGGTGGTGGTGATGCTGTTACATGTTATTCTTGTGGTTGCAGTTGCTGCTTCTGCTGTATGCCCGTGCTATTTTTTCCTCATGCTGGCGCCGCGCGGGTGGCCTTCTCTTCAGAGTTGTTCACCTGGGTTGATCTTGTTTTTCTGGGGTGGGGAACGACCACACAGCATTCCATCGCCCAGTACGTCGAGACACAGCTATGGCAACCTCTAGAAGACAAACACGTTGTATGTGGCGGTTGGTGTTCGTAGCAGGGAAGAGGGGAATCATTCGGATAGATGGAATTTCCAGACCTAGGAGCCCCTGTACCACATGGCAAGCAGGGGAGTTTGGGTGCGGCTTTTAGACGTGAAAATAGTTACGAAAGGAGAACCTTTTGTCTCGCTCGCAGTCAGGAAGTGACCGAGCAACTGAGAGGAGTATAGGTCACCCCTTGCAGACGAAGAAGCAAGAGATACGAACGTTACGAATAGATCACGTGCCCGGTTTGTCCTTCCAGGCGTGTGAATCATCATGGTTCGGGACTACGCAGGATGCATCTAGGTTGTAGGAACCCAATTACCCCCCCCCCCCCCTTCAACATCCATTATTGTACAGACCCCGTGCTCACGACACATACCCTGCTATGGGGCTCCATCGGCGAACCTTTGCTCAAGAAATGGGAAGGAGACCGGGAATACCTGTGGTCGTTCACCAGGGGCTTCTCGGAGATGCCTTCGCCGGCGCAGGTATTATCATTTGCTTCATTTTTTTTTTCCGTTGTTGTTTTTCTTGCAAAAGCAACGCAATATATTCTCTATCTAAAAGTTCCGGCGAAACGCTTGTTTGTGGTGAGATGCGACTCCCTAAAATTAGCTACCGAACTGTGCGCGCCACGTACCTCTTTTTGTTTTTGGTCTTCACCGTGGGCGGCCGTACGACTAAAGCAAGTGAAGATGACTCGGCCGAAAAGAGACAAAACGAACGCCGGCGTTCCCTGTCGACTGCGTGATCCCCCGACAGCGGGGCGGGGGGGGGAGTTGCGGAGAATACTGGGCTTGAGGGTGTGTTAGGAGCGTGTGTCATGCGGAGATGGCCGTTTGAAAAGGGAGTTGGCCATTTGAAAGACAAGAATTTACTAGTAGTGAAAAATGGGATCTGTCTCACCAGCCTGTCTGCCGAGGGAGATTCCCTGTCTTGATGTTGGCATCGTCGTGCGAGGTGTCTGGTTGGTGGCGGCGAACAGTCCGGGTTCAAATTTGACTTCCCACCTAGAAGTGGCCGGGGATGACAACAACACAAAGGTACTCTTGTGCAGCTTTCTGATTAAGTGACGCACGTAGTGCACCCGTTAAAACACGGCGCAAGTGGATTTTGAAGAGGTGACGAAATCAGCTCGTCACCAGCCGGTTGGGCTCCGATCAACCCTAAAGGTGATTCCTTTGCGTAAACAAGTACGCCCCCCCCTCCCACTCCTTCTGAAACCCCTGTAGCTCAAGGCTAGCTTGGCGGAGCAACTCTCTGTGGAGCAGCTGCGGGACGAGTTTCGGGGGTACATGCGGACCAAGGTGGCACAAGAGCTGGTGAACTTCTACCTCGACTCGCTAGACAGGGAGGAGATCCACGGGTTCTTCGGCAGACAGGTAATGTGTGAAGCACTGTTTTCATGTTTGTTTCGTGGGCGAAATGCACATGTCGATATTTTTCCGCTAAACACTTGCTAGTCCATCCGAACAAAGAGACAGTGGTTCTGGCCTTTGCACAAAAATGTTCTTCTTTTTCATCTTGGGAACCGCTCCGACATCTATGAATATATCCATCATTTGATCATTTGAAAACGCAGCATGCATTTGCAGCACTCGAATTACTCCTAGGTAGCGCCAAGATCAAGTCCAACGGGGACAAACGTGAAGAGGGGACATTCATATATCTTGCGGCAGGAGCTGTAGTGAGCTTGAAGTAGGTGTTCGACAAGACGTGACGCACATCGACGACCGAACCCCGGAGCGATGGGACAAATGCGGCGTGGTTGAAGCGGCATTTTCTCTCGAAAAGGTCGGGTGGAAGCGATGTTGATCCCCTTGACACGTCCCTCTCTTCGGCATCACGATTGAGGCTGACCTGCCCTTGACACAGTGACATTGACAACGACGGTCGTCCTCAATCCCACCATTTGGCTGTTCTCAGGCGGCAACGATGCGCATCGTGGCGAGATATATCAGAGACGGCGCCCCTGAGCAGGTGTGGCGTGTAGCGAGTTCGTTGATATATCTACTGAGTTTCCTTTTTCCCCAGAGGAAAGTAGCGGTATGATAGCAGCAGTAGCGACGGGAGCACCGAACCTGCTGCAAGTGAATGCAAGCGTAAGCGAGGGTAACACGCCCCCACAAGGTCCGTGTACGTATAGTATGCCGGGGTGTGATCTATGGTACCCCCCCCCCCCCCCGTGGACTTCGCCCTTCCCGCCGAAAGGGCCCAAAATGAATGGCGGAGGAATGTTTTGAGCTGGCCCCGGATGGGGTTTTCTCCCAATACGGAGTACTGTAGTACCGAAGATAACTTTTTTTTTTTCGACGTGGCAGTTTCGGGGCGCTGCGCAAACCGGTGGTGATACCTGTCGATCCGCCACAACCAAGCACGGGAAGTCACTAGTTCTGGCGAATGCATAAAATCATTACGACAGACACGCCCCCTTTGGAAACCCCCCGTAAAATAGTCTACGCCGTGTCTATCCTGCATAAAACTGCCTCCCATTCATTGAGTTGCGTCAACAATTCGAACAATACCCCCCCTCGATGGAGTGAGTTGGACCTACGGAGTGAGTATTTCGTGCCGTTTGACCTCCCCACTCCCCCGGCGAAGGTTTCGCAATAGTTTTGCGGAACTTCCACCCGGTCCTTATGTTTTATCTAGAACTCGATACGCTGCGTTGGCAGGTAAATATATCGGAGGCGTGCCGGGAGGAGATTGTGTCGACGAATGTGACGGCCTACGACATCTTCGACCGCGCTAGGGCAGAGGTTCTCGCCGTCATGGAGGTGAGGAGAAGGGGATTGCCGTGAAGTCTCATAGTCCCTTGTTTGATCTCGGGCTGCTACTCCAGCACGTTCGTTCATGCAACCTGCATGGTCGCCAGCGCTCATGGGACACAAGCGATGTTGAGTGTCAGTCTGGAGTTTGTAGAAGGAGGGGGTACGAACAGCATTCAGTTCAAGACAGACGTTAAGGCATTCTGTGGAGTGAGGCTTCCCATTGTTGCGAACTTCTTGTGTGCCATTCGGTGGGCTCTTGCATTACGTACCTCTAATTGTTGTCGGAGGGTCTTCGTGTTTGAAAGGCACAACGGCGGCGTGTGACTACTCATGTTTCATTCAACGCCCGCCGCAGTCACCGTCGAATGAAATCGGGGTGTATTTTCATTCCAAGTTTCACCCAAATTCTGTCACACACGTGCTTGTTCTTCTCCTCGCGCACGCGCTATTGCCACTCCAATCGCAATGAACACGAACGAGAACAGGCCGAGTTCAAGGCGGAGTTCGTAGAGACGGAGGGGTTCCGCCGAATCGCCAACGCGTCCGAGCTGGAGCAGCGAGAGAAACGTCTCCTGCGGGCCGGGGGGTTCTTGCCCCCGAGCACCCCGCCGGGTCCCTGCGTCTGACGATGTCCGTTTTCTACTGTGATTGGTCTGTGTTATTCGATCTGTTGAATCACCACCATCGCTTGAACGGCGTGCTAGATTACCGTGCCTGTCGCCCTCCAGACCCGAAAGAACCAGGCTGGATATCACATGGGGCAGGCGCGATCCACTCCACGATATACGTTGGATCCCATGTATTTAGTAATGCGTAAGGTTTTTCAGGCAGGCGCGATTCATTCGCCCAGTACAGTAGTGTATTTACTCGTGTTTTCGGGAGGAGGTGCGTTCGATGCGCGCACGGGGTGCCACCAAGGCACGGTATTCGAAACGTGGTCATACCGCAGCCGTTACCCGCAGAGGTCTGATGCACCCGAAGTTTTTTTTGCACCCTAAGAATGAGGGTGTCGAATAGATGTACCACCTCATTTTGTTGTCCTTTTTTTTGCGGCTTGGCAGTTTTAGTCGTGTCGCAAATGTTGCCTTACTGCAGGTCGATGTACGTTTCTAGGGCGCGTGAACGGTTCAACACAAGCGTAATAGAGGAGCGGGGACTAAGGTGCTGCCGGTTGATGAAAAATCGACGATTCATACCGAGGTTCGTATTCTTGATGTCCCATTCCGTGTCAGGCCTTGGTCAAACCACCAAAACCGTGACTGTGAACCCGGTGTTACGGCGATGTCTCTTAGCGGGAAGCACTCGGGTTCAAGTTCTGGTATGTTTCGGCACCTCTGGACCGTCGTGTTGTTGTGTGCCAGGGCTTACCGTAGAAAGTTGGTGAGAGGAAGCATAGATTTGTAGAAAGATGGAACAACGGAAAATGAATCTCCTCCAAACGACACAACTCGTGAGTCGCTCCGGGTGATCAGCATGTTACAGCAGTAGGTCAGCAGGTAACCGGACGGAAGGGCGGGGTGACCCTTTCCTTGTTCTCGCCTCACCAATTTTAGGCAAGGACGTTGCGAAGAGGAGTTGCTTCTTCTGTGGTGAGAGGCAAGATACGACGCAGGGTGCAGCTAAGGCAAATTGACCAGAGATAATGGCGGTCCTCCATTACAGCGAACTGCATTGCTGCTGTTGTTTGGTCGCACCGGTAAAATGCTTGTAAACGATCCACGCAAGGCAGCTTCCCTCCTCGTTCGGGCGTAGGCATCTCATGAGCGTGTTGCAATAGAGTCCGTTCAGTCCGACATTTCTACACCATGGTGCACTTATTTTCACACGAGAACACGCATTGATCGGCAAACGACGACAGACGCCGTTAATGAAAATGATGCGTCCATCGTCGGTTTCAAATTCCGCAACCGTATTACCCTAGTCTATTATCAGAAGAATCGTACCAATGACCTGTAAATTAAATCCCTTACACCACCCATCTGGCGGTTATCAAACTTGATACTGCAGTCAAACCCTACTATCACCCACAAGAACCGTCCTTCAGCAACCATGATTCCAACCGTCCGCAGGATACAGGAGTGAAACCGAATACCCCAAAAGGCCCCGCAAATAGCGAACAATGCATCCATCTCTGAGCTCGGCATCCAGCTGAACTTCCCACCTGCTTTCGCGGTTCCTCCTCTGGTAACTGCTTATGGCTGCATCAAGGATATCAGAAAATTGTACAGGGAGCAATAAAGGCGATCTTCCCCAAGACAACTCTTGGCATTCGCACCCGTCACTTCTCGCACACACCACCCGTTCCATGTTTATTCTCCAAGAATCAAAATCGTCAGACGCAATGAAGAGTTTACAGCGTTGATGATGCGCGGGAGGAATGCCACTACTGTAAGACCGCTCGGCGAAACGCCACGGCTTCCCACGCTCAGATGACGATACTGCCCACAGGCCCACACAGGCCTACTTTCAAACCGATCTACCTCTATGTCAACACGTATGTAGTGTGATCCTGGTGGCCACGCGCCCCAGGGGCGGCGGCCGCCAATCCTAGTACTTCTACTTTTGTTGTTGCTGTTCACTGTGATCAATGTAAGCCGACCCCTCCCCCTACCCCCTCGTTTTGGAGCCCATAAATGAGGGCTCGATGTTTGCGCGCCCGTCGTCAAGAGGAATAGCTGGCCCTCTGCTTTAGTTCCACCATGACAACGGGGCGCAGCTAACGCCGTAGCAGCAACGCGCTCGCGCCCGCCTCACAGCTCGAGCAGCAGAGGCGCGAAAACAGCAGCAACACCAGCGATGACGCCAGCCACAGAAGCAAAGGCGACGGTGGGAGCCGCGGAATCGTCATCCTGACCATAGCAACAGTGAATATCAACAGAAACGTTGGGAGCCGGAAAGACGTGTTGAGTGACGTAGAAGTATCGTCAGAAGAGGAACGAACTATCGGTGGGTATGTGAGTCATACTCGCGCGAGATTCGTAGCTGCCAGGGATAAACTCGTGGAGGGGTAGGGTCTGATGTTCTTCTCCCGACGGGTGAGCTCAAGACGGGGGAGAGGGGGAGGACAAATTCCGTTGGAGGATGTAACCGTTGGATGTGATCTGAAGAGCACCAATAAAAATACCCATGTGACGAGCCATCACTATATTCCCCACTACCAACAGACAAAGGCGTCGGGTTGCGACGTACTTGTATCCGCTCCTGAATACAGCCAGGAATACCAACCAAACAGATTGCGAAAAATCTGAACGAACCCGGACGACCGCCGTAAGACTACGCAGGATTATCTTGACAACCACGGCGTGCTCGACAGAGATCGAGACCCGACGGCATAAACACATAGCATAGTCACTCTGCTGCCCACCTCGCCGTCCTCCTGCGCTTCAGCGTCCGCGTCGACCTCCGCAGCGTGAACGCCGTCACTGCCGCTGTCGTCGTCCTCGTAGTAGTAGTCTTCGCAGACGTTGCCCGTCGGGCCATCGTAGCGGTCGGCGATCATGACGGCGGTCCAGGCGGAGGCGAACTCCTTCAGGAACTCGTCGTTGTCCTCGGCGTAGACCACCGTCTGGGCCTTCAACTCGGGGTCCCAGACCAGGGCGAGGTCGGTGGCCAGCGCGTACACGCCCGGCGATCCGACGGCCTGGTACTCCATCCCCTCGGAGTCGGGCACCTCTTCCCAGGTCTCGGTGAGCAGGGTCGTGTAGAAGGCGTTGGAGAGGGCCGGGTTCTCCTCAACCGTGTAGGACCCGCTGAAGCCGAGCGTGACCATGTGCGAGGCGCTGCGGGGGCGACCGGCGAGGGCGACGGCCTGCGGGACAGACAGGCCCATGATCTTGGCGCGGTCACGCACGCCCACGATGACATCGTCGTACTCGCGGGGCTCGAGGACCGAGATGATGTCGTCGCCCTCGGCGGCGTCCACGCGGCCGGCGCAGAACGGGAGGTCGTCGATGTCGAGGGCCAGGTTCCCGGAGAGCACGATGAGGTCGGCGTAGGACATGTCCGGGTACTCGTCGCGCACGGGATCGAGAAGGCTCAGCACCTGCACATTTGCGGCGCACGGCGTGAGAGTGGTGGGATGGGGCACGGTCAGTTGGGAGCTACAGCACCGACCGAGAGGGCTCTGCGGAGTTCACAAGGCGGCGGCCTACACTCCTTGCAACACTTGAAGCCTCTCCTTGTCTAAACGCCCTATGGGGCGGAAAAGCCGGCTTTCCTCCAACAACCCCACCCGACCAAGGACCCGCGCGGTGCTCAAGGAACCGGAGGGACACCGCCGAGGTGCAGCCGTACGGTAGCAAACTAGCAGCGCAAAACAACAAACAAAACAAACAAAACAGAGTTGTACCGCTTGCGATGACAGTGGCCAGCCAGCCGGCCTTCCGGGAACAGGTTACGCGTGCACACAAAAAAAAAAAAGGCATTAGCATGAGGCCGACCCTGGTTCTCCAGCTCACCTCGTCTAGGCCTTGGTTGCCGGCCCAATCCTTCTCGGGAGAGAAGCGGATCCTCGCGCCGTTGCAGCCGCCCAGGTAGTCCGTGGCACGGAAGGTGGAAGCGCACTGCCACGCCAGGGTGACGAAGAGGGCCGGGTAGGACGGGTCGCTGGACAGGATGCCCACGATCGCGGACGCCGCCCCGTCGCTGTCCGGGAGATCGACGGGCGCCTCCGGGAGCGGCAGCTGGAAGTCCTGGGGCGGTGCGACGTCGGTCCCCACGCAGCGCTGAAACTGGCCCATGTCGCGAGAGGTGAGCTTGTACCAAGAGGCGGCGAAGGCTTCGTCGAGGGCGGCCTGATCGCTGGCGAAGAGCTCCACGAGCGCTAGGTATTCCGGGTCCTGCCAGTTGCGTCACGGGTAGCGCGGACGGAGGGATCGATCGGGGAAGGGAAGTGTTGGGGGTGAATCAGTGGCCCCTTCTCCCCTTTGCATCTTGCGGCTTCTCTGTTGCTGCGTACGTGTCGACGGGGAGGTCTCTACAACCTCAGGAGTCCCTGTGAGGTCCAGCGCCAGAGGATCGCTTCGAAAGTAGATCATTGGCGCTCCAGACAACCAGCCCAAGCGAAAATTGGCAGCGTGATAACTTCGTCCGAACAAATCAAACACCAACAGACACAAAAAATAAACAGCAACATCACAGCGAACAACCCTTTCCCGGCCCACCGAGCGACCCGCGGCAGCAGCAAGCACACAACGTGAACGACGAAACACACCTCACTCACTCTTCGTGCTTTAGCTTCGAAAGAGTTCTTGCGTTAAATAATTTTGACTCACGTTCAGCAAGGCGATGTCGCTGGTGAGCATGATGATGTCAGGGATCTCGTCCTCCGTCTCCGTGGCCCCCTCCTTCAGGACCGGGAACCACTGCACCAGGTCCGCGGGGCTCTCGGTCATCACCCAGTCGTACTCGAGCAGGTCCTTGAAGTACTCATTGTCCCACACCAGGGGCTCCACCGTCCACTGGCCCTCGAACCCGCTCGTGAAGGTGTTCTCCGCGCGGCCGAAGGTGGTGGAGTTGGCATCCCCGCACGTTCCAGGCCACGGGGCCTCGGGTGCATCGATCGGGTCCGCGCCGGGGCCGGTGGCGCACGCGCCGTGGAACTTTCCTGCCTCAACGAATGGCGGCGACGCGCGCGTGGGCACCAGGGGGGGTGAGGGTACTTTGCTATCAGGCGGAGGGGGAGGGTAGAATAGTGAAAACAGAGGCGCGGTGGCCGAGGCCGGATGGCCGACAGTGTCGTTGGGGATGATCTATCGAGTGGCCGGTGAAGCGGAGAGGGAGGCACGTGCACGCGAAACCTTGGGTAGGCGGTTGGGAAAATCGGGCGTGGTAGACTACTTAGACGTGGAAAAACTCGGGGAGGCAAGATCTATACGACTATGTGTGACGGACATTACCAGCCCGGAACCTGCCTATGGGCCGGTGGGCATTCGCCCGTGCACCCTCCGTGTGAAGATGCTTCTCGAGACGCGGCTACATGTGGACGTCCGCCAGAGAAACAAAACAGAGCAACAGGATGGCTGTAGCCTGCACGTGCTGCCGATTCTGACACGCACTCACCG